AAGACCATAGCTTATCGCGGTTTTGGGATTTATAGCTGGGATTGTTTTTGTTCGACAGTAAAACAGAAGGTGGAGCAGTTGCTTGAAAACCACATCGAGATTCTCATCGTCGGAGAAGTGATGGTTGAAAAAGAATAATCTCGAGAGAAAGAAGCTCCAAATTCTCCAAAATTAGCTAAGTAAGTGAATGCTAGAGCTTAAATTTGGAATTGCAAAGATTCTCCCGGTAAATCCAAGTTTCTAATTTTCTATAAAGAAATTAGAGGTGGCAGTGAGTAAAACATGAAGATAGTCACATGTATGTGACATTGTTTACTCTTGATTGGAAAGGAATAGAGATGGATGCAAGAAGGTATGATCAATGATGGGTACTCTTGATCAATGTTGAAGAAACCGGTTAGAGTTGATATTGTTATCAAACATCAACTTCGTAACTCAAGTTTAAAGAGACTTTAAGTCTGTTTTCCGCTGCAGTCACAAAGTATTGTGTGATGGTCTGTATTGAAGTTTCAGATTTGCATATGTTCTGCATATTAATAAGATTGAAAGCTAGTTGGAACACAAAGAGAGTGCATTGATTTTTTGCAAGGGATTGGCCAAGATCCAGTGGTGGTTTTCAGGTTGTTTTTTCTGGTCATAGAAGTGTGGTAAAATCAGTTGAAGGTGGTGTTCTAATCGTTGTTGTTATTCAGCCCGGTAACTCATAAGATTCATGGAACTAGGGGACGCCTTAGAACCTTGAATATGATGAGTGTTTTATGGATGTATAAGTATCATCAAGGGTTTTCTTAAGTTCAGTTTAAAGAAGGTTGCAGAATGGTAATGAAGCAAGTCAAGTTTTCTGTTTGGTGAAGACAGAAACGGTTTGAGAAACTTCTTTGGTTTTGCTGAGTTTTGAAAGGGGTTTTGGTTGCAGGTTTATCTCTGTGTGTAGCTATCAGTTCTTGTGAATGAGTGAGTCTACATGTTGTTAGATTATCAGAGAACATGAAGCTACAAGGCTGCTATTTTCAGAGGGAATGCAGCAAGGTTTTGT